CTAGTTGGCTCCACTGGGTAGATCTAGCTGGATATGTAGGGTAGTAAGCTGATAGACAAAATGACAGAGAGCATGTTTTCATGGTGGTTTCAGCGGTCTCTCTGGATTAAGGTTAAGCTTCAACCTCAATGACGGTTCCCACAGGGCACAGAGGGACACAACTGTCAAAGTAACAGATTGATTGACTACCCACCCAAATGACCAACTGTAACTGACAACGTAATCTGAAACACAACCTGATTGACTGACTAACAGGCTGACACACTACATGATGTATGCCTGAGAACTAACAAGCAGGTTTACTGACTAAGAGACGAGTGCAGCATTATCATTGACTACTTTAAAGAAACCCATCACATCTTATTTCCATGTGTTGGATGGCTTGTCTACAACATCTGTAATACTTGCCAATGTTTTCTATATCCCTGTGGCCAGCTGCCTACTTCACTTCTTTCATCCACTGGTGTCAGAAAACAGAAAAATCAGCAGTAGCAGGAAGAGGATCTACAGGGAGAGTTTGGCTGAGGTAAGATTAGGTTTCTTCTCTCCGCCGGGGGCATCGTCAGTGCTCTGTCTGTTATGAAAGTTGAAGCCTGAATTTTGGACTGTGTCTGTATGCACTAAGGTTTGAAAGCTGAATCAATTTTAATATCTTGGTTAGATGAAAATCAATGAGTCAGTGTTTCTTTTCATTGATGCACTACATAATGACATCTGTTTATACAGTTAAAGAAATCAGTTAAATCAAATCACATTAAGAATGTGGACGTCTTGTTATTTCAGTTGCATTTATGAAGGGCATTTGTGCACAGCTGATTTATTTCTGCAGCATTTTGAGACACATATGGTGATCCAAATGCTTTAAGCTGCATGCCAATGTTCATCTAAAAAGACACTCTTTCTTTGCCACTATTTTGTTATTTACATACACTCTCTATCACAAATAATAACAAACACTCTTTCAATGTTCAGAGCTGTGTGTCTTGCAGGCGAACCACCTTTGTTCGTCAACTCTTATGTATCAGCGTATCCAGTACAAGAATGACATGTAACCCATGATAGCGACAAGGCCCTAGGGATAGTAATGTCAGTATTTTGGTCCCCCACTTTGGGGGAAATATCTCAATGACTATTTGATGCATTGCCATGAAATTCAGTACAGAAATTCATGATATCCAGCAGATTCATTCTAATGACTTTGAGGATCCACCTGCCTCCATCATACCACCATCATCAGGTCAAAATGTTTGTTCAAACAAGCAATCATATATATAAGTACAGCCTCACAAAGCTGCTAGCATTGGTCTTCTAGTCTAGTCTTGTTTTCCAGTGTTTAGTCAGTCTGGCTCTGTAGCATGTGGATGGGAATACTAACTAACAAACTATGTAAACAGCTTACTCAGAATACAGCCAAAGGTCATAGCCAAGCCAACCAAAGTCAACAAATGATACCTGCAGTGTGGAAACACCACAGAGATGATTACTTAACAGTAGCACGAACGATACAATTTTTAAGAAAAGAAATATGAAAAAGATTTTTAAATACAGAAATTTTGGATGAAGCACATGACTGACTGACCCATAAAACAACTAAATGTCAGCCAAGTCGACTGACTGGCTGATTAACCTGCCATTTTTTATCCATTGCTTTGCAGCTGCTCTGTCCTGCAGTGAAAAAGAGTAGTTGTCCATGATGCCCAAAGTGCCAAAATGCGAAACTGTGCCAATTCTGTGGCTACCCACCGGGAAGAATGGAGGTAGGGAGAGGAGAGGAATGGAAGATAAGAAGCCACAGCAAGAGAGTACTGTAGGGGAAATGGAAGAGGACGTGAGACAAAGAAGAAAGGAGGAGGACGGCGAGAGGGGTTGGATGGGAGATGAGATTAAGTGAGATAAAACGAATAAAGTGAAAAAATGAATACACAGGGAGGAGGTGAGATGGAGCAAACAAAGAGGAGTGACAGAGTGAAGGACAGAGATGAAGAAATTAAACAAGGAAATGTGATAAAAAAGGATGAGCTAATGTATGTAAAAGCCTTTATGGCGTGTGTTAGTAATTGTTTTACTTTGACACGCACCCCGTTTGTGAACCACAAAAAGCTTTTACAAGGTGAATATTTAAATTATAATAGCTATCTGTTTATTCACTATGAGATGTGCATTCTTAAGAGGTTATACAAATGGAAAAAAATCAATTCAACTGAGCTGAAAAGCAGTTCTTTTAACTCTCTGGAGAATATTACAACAAAATAAACTCTGATTGTGCTTCAACTGTGATTTTTTTTTCCAGAGTAATGGCTTTTACCTTTATTGACTTGCACTAGAATTGCTAATGCTTATAACTTCTCCCTTTAATATCCTAAAAAACTAAAACTGAATGGACATCAAGGACTTTAAATGCATGATAAATTGGATTCTGTGAGTGTCTTTAAAACTTAAACTATCCCTTTAAGACTGACTAGCAGATGTATCCACTCTAGATTTAAGTGCTCAAATGTCTGGCAAGCTGGCTACCATAGAGCAATAATCGCTCACTTAGACACACACACACACACACACACACACATTCACTCTAAGACCCTGCTGGGCAGAGGAAAGCTGAAGACGATGATGTCATGACATAAACAATAGCTCATTCAGCTTTGGCGCTGGTGGTCAGGAAGCAAGACCGTGCTTAAAGGACAACATCTGTAGACGGGTGAGAGTAGTGAGAGAGAGAGAGAGGGAAGGAAAAGGGAAGGAGAGCCGACATCTTAAATCCCCCACTCATCCTGTAACTCATACTGAGCTGTGGAAGCACCGGGGAGAGTCTGTAAACAAATCCCAGCAGTTAGCTGCGCGGATCATGTCAGAGGTCTGTGCATCTATTTGGCATTCCAGTTGGTTAGTAACTGTAACTGTGCAGCTGGAGAACAAGCCACAGGGATTGTATGCAGGCCAGACAGACAGACAGACAGACCTATAGCCGTAGTTCAGGTTACATAGCTTTCTCCATATGGTTCCTGTTACCACCTCCCCCTTCAGTGGCTCTGCACTGTCTTCCTCAACCCTCTTTAGGCTATTAAGGTAATTAAATGTAAGAAAGTAGTGTCAGCTGTTGCTGTATTCCCACAATTCCTTGGGGTCTATGTAAAATGATGGAGAGATGCATGAGTTCGAGTGTAAAATCTCAGCATTATCATAAATATTAGCTGGCTATATGAGACAAAGTGAAAGTTACTCCTGCTGCGCAGTTCATTTATGTGATCCATTATTCTGACAGGCACCCTGTATCTTATTTCCATACTGCTCTGTGTAAAAGTGTTAATCTCACACATGAAACCACCACACCAGTCCTACAAATTCTGTTTCTGTTCAAAGACGGTCCTTTTTCATACATAAACCTTTCATAATTTGGCAGCACTGGGATTATCTCCCCCAGCTGTGCAAGTATGCCTTAAGCAAAATGGTTGACGAAAGCAAACACCCCAGCCACAATCTGCAGGTCTGCTTCATGAACTTGCTGTGTGTATTTACCAGGCTCTCAGTCACTACCACAGGAAGGAACTGTTTCATTTCAATTTCAACAATCCTGCTTAAACAGCCCCACTGACTCCATAAAAATGTAAAAGCTCTCTTACTGCAACTTGATTTTTTTCCAGTACCGCTGTGTTGTTTGCTTGTTGCTGTTTAATTCTGTTGTGCGAATGTAACGTTCACACTGAACTGCACAAAGCTATCCAACCATGTACAGTTTCCTGTCTCTTCTCTTCCAAAGACATGAAGGCTTTGCTTCTGAGCAGCATCATATATTTTATGTTGGTTGGCTGGGTAGACTGGTACGGATTTGTCTGGCAACTGAGTTTGCATGTATGGACAAATAACTCTCTTTTGAACAGCCAGACCACCACAGTCACCCCCTATCAACCACCCTGCCCCCCCCTCTAAGGCCCACAGCTCGGTCTCACCATGCTCACGCCACCTGCTGGTTAAGCCAAGGTCACAGCATATTACAGTAATTATACTTGAAGAACACCATATATCTATAATAGCTACACAAAGCTTCCATTGCCTGGCTGCAAGAGGACACACACTGGCATCTGTCATCAGTAATCTAAACATTCATTCAACTGTATTAAAAACACTAAATGCAAGATAACTCATTCGCTGTGTAGTGGTTCAGAAACTCACTCCCACTCTAAAGCTGAGTGTACGTCATGTTTCTTCTAAATGGACAGCTTAATAATGGTGGAACAGTCGTCACTGAGTCATTATGAAATATGCAGTTAAATGTTCCTTCGTGATTAACAGTACGATGTACAGTGTGTATTAGAAGTTATAATCACATAAACGTTTAAAAAATTAAGAATGAAGAATGAAGCTCGAAGCACAGCCTGGATATTATTATCTGGACAATACAGAAGGAGTAAACATCACAATTACCATCCTGCTAATATCTGTGTTTATATCACACCTGTCTGTCCTGGGAGAGGAATCCTTCCTCTGTGGCTCTTCTGCGGGGTTCTTTGATTTTTTTCTGTCTTTAAAGGGATTTTTGGGGGAGTTTTTCCTTACCCAGACTGAGGCTCTATGAGTTGAATGTTGTACAGATTGTAAAGCCTCTTAAGGTTCTCTGTGATTTGTGATTTTGGGCTATATTAATAAAATGTATCTTGACATCCGTCAAAAAACTACATGCATATTTCTGATGTTAATTACAAAGAACTGCATCATGACAGGAGATAATGGAAATACCAAGCAACTGATGATATTTGGATCCAGGCTAGTTGGGAAATTATTATATTGGGATTTAAAATGTTCTGACTTTGGCGACTGCTAGTGGTAATATCAAAAAAGACACTGCGTCAGACAGCAACGCACTCTGATAACACCCTCTCTCCCCCCAATAAAGGGCTGAAATTAAGCATTTTCCCCCTTTTTACCAAGGATTGTCTAATTTATCTTTAAACAAAACCCATCGGAACCCCGGGGTTTGAAACACCTAACACTGGACTCCTTACCTGACAGAGTTTATCATGGCTCCGCAACCTTCTATGGCTCCCTGGGAGTCTGTGTGGTATCCATTAGGGATGGCCCAGCGTCCGGGCTGGCTCAGCACAAACTCTGACCTGCTCCCCGGTATGGTGGTCCTCAGCGGGCTTCCTCCTATTCCAGCCACAGCTCCAGCTCCACGGACAGTGCTCTCCCCAGCTGTGAGATCACCCCCTGGGGCATCTGGTCCAGCCTCAGCCCCTTCTTGCTCCAGAACAGTTGCCAGCTCCAGCTCCAGGGGTTCAGGACCCTGTAACAGCGCCCTCTGTTGGATGAGCGGCGTCAGTGGTGCCTCGAAGCTGACACAGCTGTCTGTCTCATCTGTGAGTGACAGTACATCCAGAGAGTCCAGGCTGCTGTAGCAGGTCCCGCCCCTCAGCAGGGCAGACTCTACGATGCGCTCGAACGTGGAGCTGAAGCCGTCTTTATTGTCCACCCTACCTTTCTCCCTCTCTTCCTCCAACTCCCTCTCCTCTTCCTCATCTTCCTCCTCCTGAACAACCTGCTCAACAATCTGCTCAAACACAGAGCTGAAACTGTCCTGGTTTTCTCTCCCATCTCCCTCTTTCTCAACCTCCTCCTCCTCCTCTTCCTCCACTTCTGTGTCGGCCTGTTCTACAGTCGTCTCAAAGTTAGAGCTGAAAGCGTCCAAGTGTGTATGAGCCCCCCCCTCATCTCCTCCATCGTCCTCCTCACATACTTCATCTTCCTCTTCATTCCCACCTATGCCATTTTCCAGTCTGTTTCAACAGGGAGAAAGAAAAGAAGAGGAAATTACGTTTAGCATATGACTCAAGCATACGACAGTTTCTTTGTTGAGATTGGCACACACGTAAAGCAGATCATTCATATTCATTGCTGGAATCAGTCTCCATTCAGGAGGAGTATGCACAATGGGCAAATATTTCAGCTTGAATAGCCACACTGACAATTGAAGGAAGATGAAAGGTGAAGAGCACTGTTCAATTTGCTACTTTGTGAATAGCTGGAAGCTCATCTCACCTCGGGTGTCAAACTATATCATCCCTTATATTTGTGAGAATATGAATACATTGTAGTGCTCTGTGTTTGCTGCTGATGGACAGAAATAACCCATAAAAGTAGTTTAATTAAAATGGTGACGTAAAACAGCTTAATTTACTACCACTACTGCACCTTTCTCACATAGCAAAGCTCTAATTAACAAACATGTTGTTCTGCCACATTGTGAACTCTTTACTTACTGTCTTTCGCTATCTTTGTTGGTTTAAAATTGGTTTACTGGGTCCTCTCAGTTTCTCACTCTGTTTGTTTTCCTTTCAGCTTATTTAGTTTAGGCTTTTTGCCTATTTATTTCATAAAATGCTAATTAGGCTAATTATGTACCAGAGAACCACACTGAGAAGACAATTTGCCATTGAAAATAATGGACATGGAAATGAGGCACTCTGTTATAGTATTAACAGAAATAATAAACACTGTCTGTCCGACCACAAAAGACAGTCTCGGCTCACTATAAAACGTGTTCCTTAAAGGTTGTGTGTAACATTTAGGAGGATCTATTGAGCCGTAGAGATCCATGGAGTCTGCACCTCGCATTAGCTTCACTTTTCACATCATTATTTTAGTCCACCATTTATCAAACAGTCTACAGACTAACAGGATATAGGAGTCTTGGCCACTTAAAGGACCAGTATGTAGGATTTAGTGGCATCTAGCGGTGCAGATTGCAACCCCCTCACTTCAACCTCCCCTTCCAAGCATGAAGGAGAAACTCTGGGCTACTGTAGAAACATGGCAGGCCTGCATCTACAGCGTCTGTAGATATTTTATTCTAAGGCAACAAAAACATAACGATCCTTACTTTCAGGTGATTACACACTAATGAAAACATAGTTATGAATATTATATTCCATTCCTGCACACTGGACGTTTAAATTTTATATCATACTTTGACACGTAAAGGTCACAAGTTGTAGTCACCAGATTTTCACATCTTAAAAGCAGTATGCAGTATATCTTGACAGAGTGCTACAGTAAAGATGATTTAGTGAACCAACCGGCCAGCTTGTTGAGGGTGAGCTGCCTCCGCCTCTGTAGACGGTTGCATCTCTTCATTTTCCTTCCCCTCCTCTTCTTCTTTCACCCCCTCCGCCCCATGTGTTTCCTCCTCCCCCGTTGAGCTTACCTCCACATTTATACATCCTTCCCCCCTCGTCCCATCCCTCTCTCCCTCCGCCCCTCCGTCTGTCTGTTGCTCCTCATCACTAGTGCCATCTACCCTCTCTTCTTTCAACTCACCCTCTACTCCCTCATCCTTTAGGTCTTCCCTCCCCTCTCCTTCCCCGTGTATCTCCCCTTGTGCCTCCTCCTCCCCCTCTCTGATCTCTTCTTGTTGTTTCCCCTCCTCTATCTCGTCCTTTGCCCCGGCCCCCAGCTTGTCCTGCTCTGCCTGGTTGTGTGTCTCTGTGGGCGGGTCGGTGGTGGTGGCTGTATTGGGCTCCACAGGGTTCTCTGGTGGGGTGGGAGAGGGCAGAGCCTGCCCCTCCTGGGTCATGGTGCTCTTCACTGAGGGGGGTTGCTGTCCACTCTGGCCAGAGATGAGTACCAGAGCTTCAGATCAGCAAGCAGGGAGGACCCTCTGCAGAGAAAAGAAACACAAAATCAGCATGAAATGAAGGACCAAGTGAAAATGAGACAGAGGAGGAGGAAGCAGTGTTATAAATGACTATAATAACTACAGCAGATACTGATACAGTCATTTTATTATTTCTAGTCTTAATTACATCTCACAGAGGTCACATTCAACAAAAGAGCAGCTGTGTATTTGTGTGTTGAAGTGTTTTACTAGCTGTGCATGTTAGAGAGAGAGATGCATATGTCTGGAACACTTTGTCCTCTGCACCAGATGATCCCAAAACAGCTCTGAAGGGAGGGCAGGAAAAGGTAGATAAAATAGAAAGCAGAGAGGAATACAGGCAGACAGGCAGGCAGGCAGGCACAGAGAGAGATTTGTTTAATAAAGCTCAACAGATCCCTGTCAAAATGATCCTGCTAGCTCATCCGCTCTCTGTCTATGTGGCGATTTCACAGCTGAATAACTAACTATCTGTTTCCATCCCTGCCGCGACTGTGCTTTGAGTAAATGCATGATAGTAACCTGAGATTTGAATATGTATCCTAATGGTCTACTGTTACTCTCACTTGCACTGTTGCAGCCAAGACCTCTGTACATCAGGTCTTCCTCTATCCTTACTGAGGCTCAAGGGCAAATGCTAATGAGCAGCTCTTAATTACGGTTCTGCAGAGCTAGTTATCTTTCAATTACTGCTGGCTGATATATTATTCTTTTAACGAAAAATACGTTTTTTTTTGTGAGTATAAAAAATTAAATGAATCCTTTTTTAGACACGATGTGATGAATGAATTTGATTAGCTCTGAAACAGTTTCTGGACTGAAAGAAACATTTTAAAAGAGTTTTGATAACCGATCAATCCCTCAAGTATTTGTCAAGCAAAACCATAAAACATGTGTTGGTTCCAGATTCTCAAATATCTGTATTAGGATTTACTTCCTGTTTCATATATTATATTTTTGAGTTTTTTAAGAAGGATTCAATGGCCTCTTCTTGCAATTCATTTTAATATGGCGTCAATCAAGCTGAAGAGAAATGAGAAAATCTAACAATGCACATTTTTATTAACCACAAAGCTGCATCTGTGAAGGAAATTCTGTTATTGTTGCAGAGTGCAGCCAGGAAACAGCCCTGTCTGCCTGATACAAAGTCCTTAGCCACATTAGATCTCTGCTCTGCTGAATCATCCGCAGCAGGGGACTTACAGAAAACTGCAGTAAAATATTTACTGGGATTTAAAGCTTTTCTGATGGCATACCGATGCAGGTAAGGATCTAGTTAAGGCTCAAATGAGCATGCTGACTCATGCCAACAAAACTCCACTTGTTTCCAATGGGGAGATTTCTAGCATTTCTGATAGATTTTGATATCAAACTGTATATGGGATAGAGAGGAAAGATGTTGCAAGTGCTTTGGCTTAGCCCCTGAGCACGAGGACACCACAGGCCGACTAAATGTTTCATCAGAGCTGCAAAGAGATGATGCAAATTATGCAGAACTGAGAAAGTCAGGCAAATTGCTCCTTTATTTCAGTCTTGTCTCTTAATTACAGCAGACCTTTCCCTTTCTGAGGACTTCATGTTGTCAACTAAAAGCAATATCGAGTTCTCAATCTCAAACCCCGTGGCAGATGTTATTACTGGAGCACTCAAAGCCAAGAATAAGCCAGAAAATATCTTGGCTTTACACTATCATTCTCCTCATCGCATTGCAGTTTGAATATGGGAAAATCTGTCTCCTGTCACTCTGAGAAATACAAGCGGTATAAGTAACATCAGCACTTATTTGGTTTTTCACGACCAAGCACAGTGTGTGCTAGCGTCTTCTAATCCTTCTCACCCTGACTGCTGTTGAAAGTGTTGATCTCAAAGGACACTGACTGATCCCCCAACAAATTCTTTCTGAATACAGGATCAGTGATTGGCCAACTCATTCTTCTTTTTTTGGGGATGAGCATGGGAATGTTTTGCATTATGTTTTGAGGCACCAGGCGGTTTGCTTCAGTATTTTCCATCTGCAGAAACATCAATCACTTCACAGTATGGGTCGCATCTGATTTATTAACTGCATTATGACAAACTAAGAAAGGTACGTTTCAAAATCTGGAGATAAATCTAAAGGTTGTGCCTATTGTCTTTAACAATAATTGATTAGTATGAGCTCAAATAAGCCTAAACTCTACTCACACACGTGTACTAGGCATACGCAAACAATTTGCATCCATTTATTCGATTACACAAAGATGCATTTGCACATATTAACACACAATCAAACACACACACCAACAAAACAGTGACACATCTCCATAAATGGAAACAGTGAACAGTTATGAAACCAGACACGGAAAGTGGGAATTCTCTCTCTCTCTCCCTCTCGCTGTGTCTCCAGTGTCCTGTTTTTCTCCCACTCTCTCCTCTTCATCTGTTCTACATTATGTTTTCTGCTATCTCACTGTCTAACTGCGCTCTCTCTTTTCTCTGTCTCAGCCTCTCATTTTGCATTAATTGAGGTAAATGGGTCTTAGCCAGCAGAAAAAAAAACTGAAGACCGTGGAAGCGAGCAGCACTAAGAGTCCCGCTGCTGAGGAGAGAGAGAGCAGATGTGCTCAGACACCCCACATAGGTGGATGGAGAAAACACAGCCAGTGATAGAGAATGTGTGTCTCTCAGTCTTTGTGTCTCTATGTATACAATGGCTATCAGGAGAGACTTATTGCATTCCACTTTTGTCAGCAGAACACTGGGACTCTTAAAGCCTTATCAATTTCCTTTAATTGCGATCGGACCATCTGCCAATCATGTGAACAACACACAAACACACATGCCAATCCGGGCATATAAACCACCAATCCAGTGAGGATGACGTTGGATAAAAGGCCAAGTCTCCATTAAATAGCTCTTCTCTGTCTCTTGTGCTTTTTATATCTCTCTCTATCTCTCTGCCTGTCTTTCTGTCTCACTCAGACATGCTCACACACACTCTCTGATACACTCACGCCACAATGCACACACATACACACCACGGAAGGCGTAATTTATTGATCCCTCAGACACAGAGCCACAGTCCACTGGGAGTCTCCAGCGATAAGCCTGACTGGTCTCTATAGGCTGAAAGATGCCAAAGAAACACTACTGAGGTAATCAGACTAGAGCCTTCAAAAATAAGAGAAAACAATGGAATAGGAAGCCCCCCCAGCTGCTGCATTGCGTCCCAGCATTCAATATGATTTAACTTCACATTGCGTGTGATGGGCTCTGCAACACTCATTTAACTGTTTTACTGTTGCTCTCTTAAAACTTGACTTGGTTTGTGCTATTAAATGCAGTTTAACAGCTTAATATTACACTCGCATAAAGGTTGGGGGACCCGTAGGAGATTTAAAAAAAGGATGGTTCACATTAAAGCAGCAGAGGCCGAGATATCCTGACTTCTTGACCCCAGTAAGGTTCAAAAACGCTTGCTCCTACATTTCCCATAATGCAATCAATAATGCATACAACATTCATACAAGTCAGGAAAGACATTCACATCAGCCTCCCATTTGTAATTCGGCTGCAGCGACGATATCTCCGTCACTTGGTGGGAAAGAACAAAGAAGTCAACACACCGTTGCAAAGTCACCATTTCTGGCAGGTACACTTAAATAAGATGAAATATTAACATCAATTCAGCTTCTTTAAAAGGAGCTGAACAGTGACTGTGTCTGGTTTTACAAACTGCTCCAAAAATGTGACACAAAAGAAGCTTCTTACGACAAGGCTACCAGTCAGGGTAACCATCTTGGAATAATCTGTGAACATTTCTAAATTGGGATGGGAGGTATTCCTGATCTTTCCATTCTGCCAACATCCTGTGAAGCAGCATTAGACCCTCCCTGTCTGGTTAATACCCATGCCTTTCAAACGCCACACCAGGCTTTCCGTTAAGAAACTGTAGTCACCAAACGCTTATCATCCCATCATCAGAATGATTTTCTTTGATTTTTAAAAGCTCCTCTCTAGCCACAGAAGATATTACATAACTGTTTTCACAGGTCAAGCAGTACTCTCTATTTGAATTTAGTCGAGTGTCGCAGTGAAGAAATTTCTTCTGCCGTCGTGTAGGGTGGCTCAACAGTGCGGTATTACCAAAATGACGGTAGTACCATGTGGTACTACCGCCATCTTGTTGTTTTTGCAACTACTTTGTAAGGGACACAAACCGCCACAGCTGTGGTGAACTGGGATAAACAGCGGACCATTTCTACTAAAAGACTGCTGGCGTTTTCACTCAGGAGTGTTTCTAGAGCGAGTGAGACGGAGGCTACGTGACGTTTTCCTCTGTGGTATTGTAGCACTGCACTTACTGTGTCGAATCTTTTCAGCCTAACCACTCTGGGACGCATTCCCGTCCTAAATGCTGTAAACATGAAGTGTTGCCATTTCCTGCAGTTGGCTTGTCAATAACGCTGTAATTTTATTATTGCGGTTATCGCAACAGCCCCAAGCCTCGAGGTTCCCCCTTCGAGCATTAAACTGATCAAAAATATAACATCTGGATAACTTTGTGCCTTTAAGCAGGGCACTTTACTTCGAGTGGAGTTCCACCATGAACAGATGTTATTGGCAGTGATTGAATGTAACATGGCGCACTGGAGAGGATTACCCAGGATTCCCAGAGAGTTTAACAAATGACAGAGCTTCACAATAGGGAAGAAAATCATGTTGCTGGTTTTTCTGACACAATATGATGTGACTTGTAGTACTGCAATATGAAATGATTGAATTACAGCCAACTCATGTTAAAGCCATAATCTCCTTAATCCTTCATCTCTAATCTCTCTCTCTCTCTCTCTCCTCTCTCTCTCCTTCTCTCTACTATCTATCTATCTATCTATAGCTCAGTTTTGCTTGTAAATCTTTCTGAAAGCACTGATCTGCCTGCAGATACTCGTGTTGGGCATCACAGCATCGCCTTTTACTGAGTTTAAGTGGTGGAACAGGCAGCCAATTGCCCACTTTTAACTTGTCTGACCTCATTATGTTTGAAGTGCCTCCCCACATTCATGTTAAACAACAAAAAAAACATTTGGAGTTCTTTTGTTTGTGCTGTGTGCCACCATGAGGGTTTCTTACTGAAAGCCACCACCACAGTGCTGACAAGTGGTGCGAAGGACAAAATGTTTGCCGCTTCACTGCAGCCGGTGACATCGAACCGATTATCCCATCTTCTAATATGTAAATTGTATTATAGAAATTGAATAAGCAGTCCACAGTGTTACATATTTTTAGATTTTTTTTTTGCACCATTTTCGCTTTCACTGGATAAGAGAGGGAGAGAGAGGAGGTGAAACACAACAAATAAACAGGCTTCAAACGTAACCACGGATATCATAGCAGACACCGTACCCGCGAAGACCACCAGGACAACAGTCTAAATACCTTTCATGAAGAGCTAATTAGTAATCAAAATGAATTTATGAAGCTATCAGCTGAACACTGATGGATGATAATCAGATCTGAATACTAAGTGCACGGAGGGGAAACCTCCCCCCTCCTCCTAATCTCTTCCTCTATCAGAGAGACCAGAAAAAACACTGCAGTCTCATACTATAAATGACCTACTGACCCTGTTCATAATATGCAGGCTGGGTGCAGCACTGCAGCTTTCTCACACACACACACACACACACACAGTGCAGCGATAGAGTCACCTTTCAAAAATGCTGTTGTGTTACATGCACAGATGCAGACAGAGAGGAAGAAAAATCATTTCCTGGTTGTTAGGCCTGGGACGGGAAAGCAGGAAAACACAGTTGGAAGGGGTCCAGGGTGTTTTCTTAACCTGCCTGTCTGCAAACAAGTCACACCAGCATGACAACAGAGCACTCCAACTAACCACACCAGCCTACTGGAGCGTAACAGTCAGCCAGCTCGCCCAAATCACCCCAATATGTCACTTCTACGCTGTCAAGGTCAACCGCCCAGTCGCATTGTGTCACTCTAAACGCTCAGATCTAAATACATGCTCACAGTAATGTGGTGATTTATCTTGTTTTTTTTCAGGGGGCGATTTCCCTGGGCACTTCCATTTTGTTATGCAGATGTATTCTTTATTATACACACACACACACACACACACACACACACAACATGCGCTTTGTGGCATCTGAATGACTTGCGAGTATTATTATGTTTCCCCTTGTTTGCAATCCGAATGATTTATATCTTCTGAAACATGGTTTGAAAGTGTTTCTGATCAGCAATCTTTCTAATAAAGTAATCAGAGGGATTAAAAAAAGAGAGGAGGACAGTGAGAGAGAGAGAATAATGAGAAGAAGAGGAGGAGATAGACAGTTTGGTCTGGAGGTGCTGCTGGTGTATCTGAAGTCAGACACCTTGGGTTCATGATGATTACATTGGAGAGAGCTGCACTTTTGCCTCGGAGATGCCACTGTTGTAAGGGAGGGGGGGGTCATGAATTACAATGGATCTAGACTAGACATGTAAATGTCTATAATTAAGATAATAGTGACTTTGCTTTTGGGAAGAAAACTAAGCTGCCATCAAACACCTGTTTTAAAGAAGCCACCCACATCCTCAAGAGGCAGAGATAAGTCTATAGGCCAGAGGCTCTGGCTCACAAGAAAAATAAATACATAATACTCTTCTATATACACACTTGAGACTGTGTGTTAAGGTTGTTTATTAATGTCATCTGTTAGTATATCATTAATATGGAGGCTTACAGTAAGACAGTCGAGGTTAACCTTTAAAAATGTACAATGTGGTTACTGTGTGTCTGCTTCTTCATCCAAAGTATCTCACTTAAAAAGACATAAACAAACAGCAGATAGACAAGGCTTATTGTCTCTCTCTCTCTCTCTCTCTCCCTCCTCTCTCTCTCTCTCCGTGTGTG